AATTATGCAGAGGTTGTTGGGCTTTTTTCTCTTCTGTCTCCTCGGTAGAATCCTGCCGCTCTGTCTCCGGGGAGCGGTTCGCCCTCCAGAAAATATGACACTTTATTTCCTGCCCTTGTTTGTTAACACACCCCATTACCATCCATCTCAGTTTCATGTAACTGCCAGCCGGCATTAACACCCTCCTCCTCGCCGCCGAGGCAGAAAATAGAAAGGGAAGAATTCAGCAGATTTTCCCCCGTGGCACCCTCGGTGGCACCAAGATAACCAGAGCCGAAACCACAATTGGATTCTTATTCCTTCAGCCCAGGAATGCGAAGGACGGGACAGTTTAACCACCTTCTGCATCTTCCTGCAAAGAGAGTCGGCTTGTTATTTCGGTCGTTTGGACTCCCCTCTCTGCTACGGACAAAGATACATTAATTAATTTTTTTAATGTTAGGCAGGAGAGGTTGCAAACTGTCAGGAACTGTCAGTGGCGCCGGCCCCAATCAGGTAAGCGGCCCGCGGCGCCTGCGGCGGAGACACACTGACCCCTAGTGGCTGGCCGAGCCCTCGCAGCGCCGCACCCCGCCCTCCCTCGGTGGGAAAAAGTGGCTCCCTCCTTGGAGCAGCGACTCTGTGTGGGCTGGGGGCGTGGCGGGTGCTGGGTCTCCGCTCTCTGCCCCAACGCACGCACACACGTGCACGCATACAAACACGCATACGCGTGTGCGCACAAACACGCACACACGTGCACGAATACAAATACGCATACACGTGCGCGCACCAACACGCACACACGTGCACATACAAACACGCATACACGTACGTGCGCGCGCGCCTACATACACACACACACCACGTCCAATTGCTTCTCTCCTTTTCCAGGTCCACGGGGCGTAGATTTTCTGAACCCTCAGGGTGCTAGCCCTGGCCTACAAATCAGGCCTTTTTCTTTGGTCTTGAGAAGTTGTGAAAAAGGCAGGCAGGGTCCCAGGAGGACACACAGAGAGGGAGGAAGGGAGCTGGCGTTTGTGGAGAGACTCCTTGGGGCCAGGCACTGAGCACATGTTATCTCGCTGCAGCCTTAACATAGCCCCAATGTACCGAGAATTGGAAACGGAGGCTCTGGCTGTCCAATGGCTTGTCCAAGTCACGAAGCTCATGTTTTTATCGATTGTATTGATTTTAATAAGCACATGTTTACCCAGCACTTATCTGCCAGGCATTCTTCTAGCACTTCACCTATATTAAAATGACCTATATTGCATCCCCCTTTACAACTCTAGGAGGTAAGTACGCCCATTTCACAGATGAGGAAGCCGAGGCACAGAGAGGTTAAGTAGCTACTGCGTGGTGGATCCAGCCTAGAGCCCAGGCAGCCTGGCTTCAGAGTGTTCTTCACAAATCTCTCCAGGCTTCCAGACCCACGCTTCTCCATCCCTCCTTTCTCCCCCAGGGACCGAGGGCTGCAGCAGGAGAGGGAACGGCCATTCTAACTACCAAGGAAGGAAGAAGCCTGTGGAGGAGGTGGTATTGACGTCACAGTCAGTGCCGTTCACCCTCAGAGTCTAGGGGGTGCTTATACAAGCCCACTGGACTGGAGCAGGAAGGAAGGTTCAAGGAAGGAGGGGGGAGGGAGGCGAAAGGAGCTGCCCTAACCACAATGCTAGCTCATGCTCTACTACCGCCCCATGAACAGGTATTTTCAAACACTCCCACACTTTTTTTTTTTGACCAACACAAGGTGACTAGCTAAACTGTAATTGAACATTCCCTATGCCACACTCCTGTGATTACTACATCAAAAATGTGTGCCCCTCTCTTTGTATTCTATCTCATTTGAGCTATAGAGCAACCCCATGAGGTAAATATAACCAGCCCCAATTATATATATATATTTTTTTTAATTGATTTCAGAGAGGAAGGGAGAGGGAGAGGAGAGCAACAGAAACATCCACGAGAGAGAATCATTGATCGGCTGCCTCCTGCACGCCCGACACTGGGGATCGAGCCCACAACCTGGGCATGTGCCCTGACTGGGAATCAAACTGTGACCTCCTGGTTCATAGGTCGACGTTCAACCACTGAGCCACACCCGCCAGGCAACCAGCCCCACATTTACCAGGAGAAAACAGGGCTTTTCCAAACGGACTAAGTAACTTGTCCCAAGTTTCCCAGCTAAGAGACCTGGCACGCAGGCTTCCTGACTCCAACCCTCACGGCTCTCCTGCTGTCACTGCCACCCAGGATCCCCTCACAGGAAAGCCCAGCCCCCACCACCACCCCAGAGGCCCTGTCCTTCCCTCGAGCAGTTGCTTGAACTGGCCAGGTCTGTTCCTGTCTTAAGACCTGAGCCCTGGCCGTTCCCTCCACCGGGAATGCTCTTCCTGTACGTGGATCTTCACGCACTTGGCTCCTTCCTGTCATTCCGGTGTCAGCTCAAGTGTCACCTCCTCCGAAAAGCCTTCCTTGTCCACCCAACCTAAAATAGCCTTCCAGTCACTCTCTTGCATCACTGTCGTGTTTTCTTCCCAGCGGTTATGAATCTGGTGATTTCTTGTCTAGTTACTATTGTTAGTCTCCTCTCATGTGTAAGAAGGGCTATCAATTGCATAGCACGAACTGACTCTGCGCCAAGCGAAGTTCCAAGCGCTTTACACACAGTCAGTCATTTAATCTTCACAACCATCCCTTATCATAAGTTCTATTATTGTCCTCATTTCACAGAAGGGGGAGCTGAGACAGGACAGCTCCAGTTACTTGTCCAAGATTCCACCTTCAAGTACGCTCTGCTCTTTGCCACTACAAAAACACCAGCCCTTCAACAACCAAAAGGCAGCCATTGGATTTTCAAATGGGTAAAGGATTTAAATAGACATTTCTCCAAAGATACATAAAATGGCCAATAAACACTTGAAAAGACGGTCGATATCACTAGTCATTAGGAAAATGCGATCACAACCACAATAAGATACCCCTTCACGCCCACTCGGGTGGCTGTCATTTAAAAAGATAACCAGCGTTGGCAAGGACGAGGAGAACGTGGAGCCCTCAGACAATGCTGGTGGGAATGTAAAATGGTGCAGCCACTGGAGTAAATAGTTTGGTGGTTCCTCGAAACGTTAGACATCGAATTGCCTTGTGACCTGCAATTCTACTCCTAGATACTGTATATATCCAAGTGACTTGAAAACAGAGACTCAAAACACAAATGTGTGCCCAAATGTTCATAGCAGCGCTATTCGCAACAGCCGGCGGGTGGCAGAACCCCAATGTCCATCAGCGGACGAATGGATGAACCGAATGTGGTGTTTCCACACAATGGGCTATCAGTCAGCCACGGAAAAGCCCGAACGAAGGACTGACATACTACACAATGGACGACTCTGAAAAGCATATGCTAGCCGTGGCCCCTGGATCTGTCTCTCGCTTCAGCCATGTTTGGACGGAGCAGACCCAGGGACACCCCTTCTTCCAGCCTCTGACTCCCTCCCACCTCTCCTCCAGTCACCGCCTTTGGAACCACGTCAGCCATCCTCCACCTCCAAGACCAGACACCGTTTTTTGATCTTAACTCCTTATTGCCGAACAGCCATGAGCTCCCAAATTCGTCAGAATTATTCCACCGAGGTGGAGGCTGCCGTCCACCGCCTGGCCAGCCTGCATCTGGGCCTCCCCACCTACCTCTCTCTGGGCTTCTGTTTCCACCTGAGGATGCGGCTCTCGAGGGCGGGACCACTTCTTCCGACTTGGTGGCGGAGAAGCAGCGTGATGTGAGGGCGCAGAGCGTCTCTTAAAGATGCAAAACCAGCCTGTCGGCCGCATTTTCCTCCAGGACACGCTGAAGCCTCCCCAAGGTCAGTGGGGCAAAACTCAGGACCATGGAAGCCACCCTGGCCTTGGAGAGGAACCTGACTCAGGCCCTTTTGCAGCTGCCGGCCCTGGGTTCTACCGCGCAGACCCTCAGCTCTATGACTTCCTGCAGAACCACTTCCGGGGTGAGGAGGTGAAACTCATCAAGAAGACAGGCGACACCTGACCCACCTCTGCAGGCTGCCGGCCCCCAGGCTGGGCTGGGCTGGGCTGGGCGACTATCCCTTCGAAAGGCTCACCCTCCAGCACGACTAGGAGCCTTTGGAGCTGAGGCCTTTGAGGGCCCCCTCTGCATCCCCCTGGAACCACTAGGCAGCCTTTAACCATCCCAGAGCCCTCTCCCATGCATTGGACCAAATGGAAACAATAAAGCTTTTTGCGGGGGCGGGGGGGGAGGGGGGGGAGCTGCCCAGTCGGGTGGCTCCGTTGGTTGGAGCATGGTCCTGTCGTACACCAAAAAGGTTCCAGGTTCTATTCCTGGTCAGGTCACATACCTAGGTTATGGGTTCGATCCTGGTTGGGGCATGTGCAGCACGCAACCAATCCATGTTTCTCTCTCACTCTCTTTCTCCCCCTCCCTTCCACTCTCTCTAAAAAGCAACGGAAAAAATATCCTAGCTGAGGATTCACACACCAAAAAAAGATGGCTCTTATGAAAAATTGCTGGGTATTTGTATTTTCACCCATTCATTTATTCCAAGAACAGTGAGTTTTCTGATTCTGGATTCACAAAGACAAACAATGGACGGGCGGGGGTGGCAGGGGAAGGGAGGGGAAGGAAAGGAGACACCACAGAAAGCAGGTTGAACACTGATGTTTATTAGAGCAGAAGAGAAGGAGAAAACTAGATGACCACACACCTCCGCGGCCCCAGGGACCTCACTCTGCCCAACCAGACCTTCCGAAGTCCTGGGAGCAGGCAGCCTGTCCCCAGGCTCTGGGGGCCCAGCTCCATCTGCCCACCCTCCCAAACTGGGAGGAAGCCCCTGGGGTGGGGGGGTGGGGGTCTGTACTTTAAGCAGTTGGTCTCAGTGAGTGATGCAGGTTAGTAAAGTGAAGCAACACGTGCGCTTGCCTTCGATCCCCACGGCAATCTTCGCCATGGCCACAGTTCGTAAGGTCCGATTGGACATCCGTTTCCACAGCTGAAAAAATTAAATGCAAGAAGGAGCCTCCTCCTGTTTCGCCATTATCCAGGCCCATGTTGTCAAAGGGCTCCCTGGGAAAGAACGAGAAAATACTGTGAACGTGATGTTGATGAGGACGGAGGGTGAGGAGGGGCGGGAGGAGGAGGAGAGGGGGGGATTGAGGAGGAGAGGAGAGGATGGCTGTCACTTCCTGAGCCCGTCCCATGACATGCCATACAGCCTGCTTTCCATGCACTGACTTTTCTCATGCTCAGACCCAGAACCGCCACATGAGGGTGGAGCTCTCACTGTCCTCATTTCACAGATGAGGAGCCTGAGAGAGACTCCAGGCAATTTTCCCCAAGTGGAGTCGCATTCGCTCTGGGACTCCTGGTTCCAAGTTGATCAGTGCCTCCAGCATCCTAGTCCTCATGTAAATGGAGCTGTTAGGAGGGAGGCCTCTGTGGAATCCTGTTTTCAGGAGCCACCCCACCCCCACTCCAGCTCACCAGCAAGGCCTGTCCTACCCGGAGGCAGAGGCCTCAGTTGCTCCTCCGAAGGTGCTGCCCTGGGGCTCACTCACCCCCATAACCCCTCCTCTCCTCTTGCCGGGCCTACGCAGGGGTAACAAGTGCCTCCAATCGAGGAGGCGCTGACTGCGCCAGGCTCCACAGATATTGTTATTGCCCCAGTTTACAGGTGCAGACATGGAGACTCACAGAGGTTAGGTGACTTGCCCAAGGCCACAGAGCGGAAACACAGAAAGCTGGACCCTAGTCTGCCCGATTCCACAGTCTGAGCTCCTAACTGCTCCCCGGTTGTATTTTCTGGAAGAAGCCAAGCTCGGACTTCCAGTGCTGGAGGACCAGGGTCCCTGGTGCAAGGGGAGGAGCAGGCTCCAGAGGCTGCAGGAATGGGAACAGGGAGGCCTCCCCCGACCCCTCAAAAGTAGAACTTCTGTTAAAGCCCCTCAGAGGGACTCCACCCCCTCCCCACACACACACACACACAGGACCCCTCACCACCTCCACATAAAGTGTACAGAACTGGAGTGGTCAGAGGCTGACATACCAACCACCGCCCGGCACCAGGCAGTAGCTTCATCAGGCTCAGAGAGCCCTTCTATAAAGCTGGATTAAAATGCACACCCTGAAATGACACAGGGGTCTTAAGAGGATCAAATGAGAGAACTTGGGTGAGAGCATCCTGACAATGACAAAGAGCGATGCTCAGAAGGGCGTGTTCCCGAGCCCATTCACAGTAGCACAAATTACCACAAAGACATAAGATCGCTCTTAACCAGAGATGGCAGTCCGCCCAACTGCACCCTGCCCGGCTTCATCCACAAAGTTACAGAGGAGGAGTGGCATTCACTAGGCTTAACCTCGCAAGGGATTTGCTACTTTATCTCAGAGGATTTGGAAAGGGGGAAGGAGATGGACGTAGACAGTGAGGGAAGAAACAACAGGCTCATGTAAGAACACGGTGCAGCCCCTATGTTCATAGCGGCACAATTCACCATAGCTAAGATTTGGAAACAGCCTAAGTGCCCATCAGCAGATGAGTGGATTAGAAAACTGTGGTACATATACACAATGGAATACTATGCTGCCGTAAAAAAAAAGGAACTCTTGCCATTTGCAACAGCATGGATGGAACTGGAGAGAATTATGCTAAGTGAAATAAGCCAGTCAGAGAAAGATAAATATCACATGATCTCACTCATTTGTGGAGATGGGGGGTGTGGGGGGGGAGCAGGATAAGCAGGGGTGCTGGGAGGGCCAAGCAGCCCTGCTCAGGGGGACCAAAGACTAAACCCAGAGGAAGAGGGAAGACAGGCCGGGCACATTCCCAGCCTGGAGGGCTATGGGAAGGCAGGAGAGGAGTTGCTGATCCTGGTGACAGTGGTGAGGATGGTGATGGGGGTCACTGGCTGAGCCCGTGGATGCTGCCCTCACCTGGACAGACCCAAGCCTCAACAAGCCACACCTGTCCGATTTGTATTCCAGAATGACCTCCCCTATTTGGGATCTCCTGGTGAGTTGATAGGGGTCAGGGTCCCTTGGGTGTCCCCCAAGGCCCCTCGCAACCTGGCTGCCACCTATCTCCCCTGCCTCGCTCCTTCAGCATAAGCAGCTACCAGCTGCTTCTCTGGGGCGGTGTTCTGGGAGGCCTCTGAGCCCGTGCACTGCAGCCTCCCTGAAACAGAAGGCCTGAGAGAATGCACATACCCGAGCGGACCGAGCCCCTTACACGGGATGGACCAGGTTCCTGTCGCAGTGGGGCTTGCAGTGAGGGTTCAGCCAGTGCTCCAGGAACTGCTCCTCGGCGCGGTGCTCCAAGCGGAGCAGGTGGTGCATGTACTCCTGTCAAAACAAACCCACGGGGAAGAGAGGCCTTTATCCATGGTGACAATGAGCTGCTGATGCACCGAGTGGCCGTGGTTCTGAGGCAGGAAGCCGCCAGACCCAGGGAGGAGAAACCGCCACACCCAGGCCTCTGTGGAGACCACAGACCCACTCAGTGGGCAAAACGAGGAAAACTGACAACCCTAAGTGCTGAGAGGGTGAGTGCCCACGGGAACTCCTATACACGGATGGGGCATAACATGGACCAACCCCTGTGGAAAACAAATGGTTGCCTGAGTTCCAGAAATCTCACTCCCCGTTTACACCCTAGCCCTGTGCTCCTCAAACTTATCTGTCCTCAGAATCACCTGGAGGGCTTGTGAAAGCAGACTGCTGGGCTCCGCCCCCACAGTTTCTATTTCAGCGGGTCTGGGGTGGGACGCCAGAATTTGCATCTCTAACAAATTCCAAGCCCTTGCTGATGCCGCAGATCACTTCGAGGACAGAGAAACTCTTAAATCAAGAGCTGTGTAGAAGGTTGTACACAGCAACAATAGGTCTGTAGTAGCAAAACACTGGAAACCTGCCAAATGCAGTGACAGGAGAATGGATAAATTAAAGTAGGGCCTCGCCACGGAATATTGTACAGCAGTGTTGTATATACCTATAAATTAATTTAGCTACATACAACAGCATAGATGAGTCTTTGAAATAGCACGTAAAGCAAAGCAAATCCAGTAAGACATTTATAATGTGGCACCATTTTTATAAAACTCAAGACATACACAACTAATAATATATTAGTATGGCTGCATGCATTTGTGATAAAATCATCTTTTTTTTTTTAAAGGCAAAGGATAACTATAAGGAAGCTGAATTTGCTATACTATTATCAAATAAAATGGACTTTGCCCTCATTGGTGTGGCTCAGTTGGTTGGGTGTCGTCCTGTGCACCGAAAGGCTGCCGGTTCAATTCCCAGTCAGGACACTTGCCTGGGTTTCAGGTTCAATCCCCTATAGAGGGCGTGCAGGAGGCAGCTGATTAATGTTTCGCTCTGCACATAGATGTTTCTCTCTCTCTTCCTCTTCCTCTTTCTAAAAACCATTTAAAAGATATTTTTTAAAATATTTTTAGAAAAGAAAAATAAATAAGAAATGTTTAATAACTGTGCAAATAAATGAATGATGAGGTGTCCAATTTTCCTGAATTTTTTTCTTTCCCCCAGGACCCATGCAGTTTGAATTTGTTTTGGTTATCATGGTTGTTTTTATTTAACTCATTGAAATGCACCCTGTGTCCTGGCAGGGCAGCCAAGGTGGGAGTGGATGGTGAGAAGGCTCCTCATGGGACACAGCAATGATACCCTGGGAGCTTGCTGGATGAGGTTGTGAGTTTTGGACTGAATTCTGCCCTGTCCTGCCCTCTCTGGAAAGGGTTTGGCCAGAAGAATAGTAAGTGGGAGGAGTAGGAAGGCAATGTGGAGTCTTGTAATTAAGGAACAAAGACTTCCCAGCACGTAGCTTTACTTACTCAACTATTCCTTGTAAGCAGCGGGCTGAAGGAGCCCATGTTACCTGGTTGTTGGGAAATGTGGTGGAGAGGCTAAGAGGTCTGAGTCAGAATCTAGTTCAAAGCCAGACTCTGCCAATGTTGCTTTACTCTAGACCAGGGGTGGGCAAACTTTTTGACTCGAGGGCCACAATGAGTTCTTAAACTGGACCGGAGGGCCGGAACAAAAGCATGGATGGAGTGTTTGTGTGAACTAATATAAATTCAAAGTAAACATCATTACATAAAAGGGTGCGGTCTTTTATTTCAATAGTTTTATTCATTTCAAACGGGCCGGATCCGGCCTGCGGGCCATAGTTTGCCCACGGCTGCTCTAGACTCATTTTGTCCATCTGCAAAATGGGGGAGACACTAATACTTATTTCATTGAGTTGCCAGGATTCAATGAAATTATAAAGTTCTGTGCCAAATACGTAGTCCCCATGTGCCCCTCTAAACCCGTTCTCACCCCTCCTTCACATGGCCCCGTGCAGGGAGTGGCTGACCTGGATGAACTGCAAGCACAGACTCCCTTGTCCAGGGGCTTCCAGTTGGGTATGACGCAGGGGTAAGAGGAGAAAGGCTGGGGTGTTTGCTCCTGGTCCCTCCCTGAGGAGTCACGGCAGGTTGCCTGCCTCCCTCTCCTGAAGACCAGATCTCCTCGAAGGCTGCACTCTCCAAGTCTGGGAACCATAACTTGCCCCTCCCCCTCCAAGACTAGGGGCTATTAGTTCTGGATCCTTGATCATCTCTTGTTGGTTTACCTTAATCCTGGAACAGCTTTGCAACAGTCTCTTTGTTAAGCTCTCGACTGCTTCTGGTTACTACTAGACGAGAAACACCCGAACAGGTCTGGAGGTTGTGCACTGAGCGTCTCTCCCATGAACTGGTCCATAGGAAACTTGCAATGAATGCCTGCTGAATGCAAGACTGAAGCAGAGGGCCTCAACATGTGGTCTGTGAGGTCAACACTATTTTTAGAACAATACTAAGACATGACTTAGTTGCCTTCTGATCGTGTGTATCGATGGATAAAACTGGTGCCCTAGCAGAAGTCAAGGCAGTGGCTCCGACTATCCTAGAAGTTACTGTGCCCTGTCTGGGTAGCTCAGGTGGTTAGAGCAACGTCCCGATAGGCCAAGGTTATGTGTTCAATCCCCTATCAGGGCACATACAAGAATCAACCAATGAATGCATAAATAAGTGGAACAACAAATCAATGTGTCTCTCTCTCTCTTAAAAAAATCAAAAAATAAATGAAAATAAAGTCGTATCCTTCACCATCACACACTCACAGTTTAAAATCTATATACATATAAAAGCCTAAGCAACCATTACTACTGAACGACTGGAACGATTGGTCGACCAGTTGCTATGATGCACACTGACCACCAGGGGACAGACACTCAATGCAGGAGCTGCCCGCTGATAGTCAGTGCACTCCCACAGCCAACCTTCCCTGCCCCGATTGGGGGTCTGGCTGGCCAACCTCCCATGGTCCCTACCCCCCGAGGCCGATCCCCCCACCGGCCTCAATTGGGGAGCTGGCCAGCCAAACTCCTGTGGTCCCTCCCCCTAGCCGGCCAGCCCCTCGATACGCCTCGATCATCAGACAGGCTGAGGGACCCCACCCGTGCACAAATTCGTGCACGGGGCCTCTAGTAGATAAGTAAATGTAAAATGTTCTTCAAGTGTCAGTTTCACTGAACCAAGTCATGACACGGCAGGAAGCATGCAGGCTGCATGGCCGAGTACAATGGTCTTCATGAGAAAAGCACCTGGATGATGGTTGGTGTCAAGGACTGAACTAGCAGTGTTTTATGTGCTTGTTTGGCAGACATCTTCTCAGAAATGAAGAAACTGAGTGGGTCCTTCCAAGGAAAACTACAGACAGGACTTGTCACAAAATGCTAAAGTTCGAGCTTCTGAGGGGAAATTAGAATTTTAGAAAAGTTGTATTTACTCCCATGAGCCTGGCAGCTTTCCAATACTTCAGGACTTTTCTGATGAGGTTGTGGTGATATTAACAAATATACAGCATTGATACTCCTTTTATTTTATTTTTTTAATATACTTTTATTGATTTCAGAGAGGAAGGGAGAGGGAGAGGGAGAAAGAAACATCAATGATGAGAGAGAATCATCAGTCGGCTGCCTCCTGCACACTCCCTACTAGGGACTGAGCCACAAGCTGGGCATGTGCCCTGACCAGGAATCGAACCATGACCTCCTGGTTCATAGGTCGACGCTCAACCACTGAGCCACGCCAGTCGGGCTATACACCTTTTGTAAGTATATGCTTGTTTGCCTTCTTATTCTTTTAATCCTGGTCCCACTTGGTCAACATCCACCTGCCTTTTTTATAGCAATGACCAAAGTACCGAGAACTTGGCACATAGTAGGACCTCAATAAAACTCACTGGAGAAATATACAAGTGAATGAGTGAATTAATTAATTGACTGTTCTTTCTCCATAATCTTAGCAAATCCCCCTTGGAAGATCCCCCCAACATCTGAGTCAATCTGCTCATTACAATAGCCCAGTCCAAATGTACTTAGGTATTTCACACTCCTGAGTAGCAGCTGAAATCATAGTTGCAGAAAAACAACCAAAACACACACAGAGAAAGAGAGAGAGAGAAAAGAGCACTGGTTTCCATGACAGTTCACTATTTATTTAAAATGTTAGGAAAATAAATATGCCACAAAGGCCTACAAGCAATCATTAGTCAAAGATGAAAAGCCCAACTGCAAATCTGCTGAAAACCACAAATTCAACAATTGTGTTGGCTGCGTTAGAAATGACCCGACATTAATGATCATCTCAAATGTTCCTGGATCAAGAAAGAAGAGCTAGATGGAAAATAAATTTTAATTTTTTTAGATTCCTTTCTTCAAGGGAAAAAAATTTTTGAAAATAAAGCAAAAACCAATATCTGTGTTTCATGTTCAATGCCAAGGGTAATAATGGAAGTAAATAATTTAGCCGTAATTAAAGCAGAGATTGAAAGTGGTCCCTTCTTATGGCACTGAAGTGGTGTGATAATGAAATTATATACTTTCCCGGTTAGTGTTGCTCAGTGGTTGAGCATCAAGCTATGAACCAAGAGGTCACAGTTCGATTCCCGGTCAGGGCACATGTCCGGGTTGTGGGCTCAATTCCCAGTGGGGGGCGTGCAGGAGACAGCCAATCAAAGATTCTCTCTCATCATTGAGGTTTCTATCTCTCTCCCCCTCTCCGTTCCTCTCTGAAATCAATAAAAACATATTTTAAAATAAAATAAAATACCCACCAGAACCTGATCTAAGCTGAGAATCATAAATTGGACAGTTAATCTATTAAAGAGCAAACTGTTCCCAAGAAGACAAAATCCTTCCTCGGGCATTTGCATGGAACTGAAGGCCCGGCAGCATGTAGATGAATTATTCTGCTCATTAGTGAAAGCAGGCGATCACCGGGGCAGAAGGC